TTCTAGGTTGAAAGTCCTTTCGACTCTTGTTTAGTTTTTGATAAAACGCTCTAATTTTGTTTGAACTTCTTAAATGCTCCAGTTCAATCAGTTCTTGTTTATCATATTCCCTTTTCTTCTTTTTATGTAATTTTTTTTCTTTTCTTCTCACTTCATGGTATTCTTCTACGGCCCCTCGAGTATGGTTCCTTTGCTGCATTCTCTTATATGCCTGGTTTTTTTGATTTGCCACTTGCTCACACTCTCAATCAAACCAATTCTTATACTTTATCCTTTCCATGCTTCCTAAGACTACACCAGCAGCATTTATAATATCTCTGAGGCCCCTCCAAGCTTCACTGACATCCTCACTATCAGAGAGACCTGCCAGGCATTCACTAATTAACCCAGTATATCTGGTTGCAACTCCTTGTTCCACCAATTTTCCACAATTCAGTTTCTTAGCCTGGGATCCATGTATCTTCCTTGCATTAGATATTCGACTTCTAATCTTTGATATTGTTAAGTAACGATCAGAGTCAATGTTGACCCCCCTGTAGCTCCTGACATCCATCAAATCTGAACAATGTTTACATCTATTAGGACATGATCAATTTGATTAAACACATTTCTATCAGGGGATTTCCAGGTTCATTTATGTATATATCCTTGTGATTAAACAATTATCCAAACATCAATTCCGAAGTAAGTCTACATCACATTGCAAAAGCTTAACAGTTCTCAACATCTGGGACACTACAACACATCTTAAGATCATCTGTAAATAAGAAATAGTTGGAATTATGAACTGATCCACAAATATTAATAAAAACACTAAAAAGCAAGGATCCTATAGTGAATCACTGTTGAACACCAGACTTCACAGTATAAGAAGAAAGGATACCAAAGACTTGAACCAAGGAATGTCTATTGGTCAAGTAAAACAAAATAACTAGGGGGGTGGGGGAGGCCAAAATTTCTGAGTTTACAAAGAGGTAAAGAATGTGGGACTATGCTAAAGCATCACTTAAATGAAAATAGACTGGATCAGTCTGTCCTAGAGTACTGAGTGTAAAAGAGTGTTAACATAAGTATCCAAGTTTGCTGAAGTTGAATGAAGTTTGGAGAAACCATGCTGAAAAGAATTAAGCTCATGTTCAGAGAAACAGACAAATGACCATGGATGATATATTCAAAACTCTGGAAAAAACCGCTAAGTATAGAGAGAGGCCTCAGAAACAGACAGATGAACAACAATAAGAGTGCCACCATCATGAGATAAATTAGAACTACAATAGTCTCTGCCAACATGATCAAGTGCATATCAGGAAGCAAGGTGTGACCACAAAAAGAATCACTGGGCCACATCTCTGTAACTCGTGTAATTTTGTAATTCTGAGATTCCATATGCCATGCCATTTTAATTCACCACATCTAGATACTATTAGACCAGTTAATTTAAATCAGCTTTACATATTCAGTTTCAGTACATTAAGCAAAGCATAAGATATTCAATTGTACTACATTTCACTGTGTTATGTGGAGCAGAAGGTTATGCTGTAGCTTCAATTTTCTGACTCCCCTCCTTATCGCCGACAATAAATGAAACCTGTCCTAAGGGAATTATCACTGCAAGAAAGAACCCCTTTCATCTTTTACAAGGATCAGGAATGTCAACAGACCAAGAATGAAACAATAATATCACTGATTCATGAAATTAAGAGTTCTTACATTATTTAACAACACTGCTTCATCTATGTAGGTTATGCAGTGCCAGACAAGTTGGAAGATGATCATGAATGGTACGCAGACAGAGACTGAGAAGGAGCTGGGTTTGGCTAATTGAAGTGTGACTATCCTGGCATTCCCTTGATGAGACTGAGGAAAATCATGAAAAACACCCATCATAATAGCTGATTTCCAAAATGAGCCATAACTGGTTCCACAGTGTACAATTCCTACTTACCTGGGATGGTGAATTGTACAAAACATGTCTATATGCCTGTTCATTCAGTAGCACAAGGTCTATCATAACAATCACAGGATCATACTCAATGTACTTATCAGCAATTTTATGGCACTTGCCCTGTGAAAGATACAATTCAAGTTACATCACCTTCCAAGCTAAAACTAACTTTCTGAAACACTGAGATATTCTTAAATAGTTGAGTGACTGGCAGTTCCTCAAGGACATGGCTGCATGGAGTTAGGTCGTTAGTAAATTAGTTGTGTTGTCAGTTTGTTTGTTTGTTGTTTGTTACAGAATGGCCATCATATTCTTCATATTTAAATCTCATACATTACAATACTGGGAACAACATAAAATTTTAGTGTACAAAAGTTAGAGAGAACTATGGGTATTTCAGTCCCTGGAATTACTGCAGCAAAAAATTAAAAATATGTAGCCTCAGGTATCATAAGATAATATCTGATCAGCCAACAATCAATGAAGAAAGCAGGTTCAAGCCATAATTCTAGAAAATGGCAATTCTATTCAACATTGATTACAATAAAAAAAATCTGACTGAATTAATGAAATGTCTATTTACTATTAAACATGTACACTATTTTTCTTTGTAACGAACAGCCAAATTAAATCAATCATTCTGTATATCGACTTCAGTACATTCTAAACAAGAAGAAATCCCATTGAAATGTGCAACCATTCATTTTTTTCCATTTTATTGAAAAACATCTTTTCTTTTCACCACCCATTATGATTTTCTTACCACTAAAGGGTTACAAAATACATTATCAGCAGTCTTGGCTGTCAAAATCAATTTATCAGAGTGGCTCACCATGTCTACAAACCACTATATAACATAACGTATATAATGCACCTAGTTTTACATTACCTGAAACATGATAAAATTACATATAATATCAGTTTGTCTCCATACAAAGTCTTAACTGTAGATTTCTATGGGAGTGAAAGAATACATGTTCTGAACTAGAATAGAGTAGCCCAACTTCATATCACTTAGGGGGCCACAGTACACCTTAGGCATCTACCAGCAAGCAGCATTATATCATAGCAATTTTCTAGATTTTATCATTATTTCATACAATCAGACACAGTAATGCCATACTTTTTGAAGTTATTTATTAAGAATCATATAAAATTAAGAGAAAAATTACTGGAATACAGTAAACCTTTGTCCAATGCAGAACAAAAAGATGTGCATAACTATTTGCTGAATGCAAAAAATGTAAACATACATGGTCAGCCAAATATGCTCTAATACTAGTCTACCTACCAAACCATGCTCCCATGCTCTAGTATCTTCTCTTAACCTCTCCAACATTAATCCTACTCACCCTCAAACACTTGAAGGAGGAGGAGGAGGAGGAGGAAGAGTACTAGTAGTAGTAGTAGCAGTAGTAGTAGTAGTAGCAGTAGTAGTAGTCGTCTTAATCATCATTCATATGTATGTAATTCACAGTAAAATATAATATTTCATTTACTGAATTTGTATTTTGGGGCACACAGTAGCGTAGTTGGTTGAGGCACTATGCTACAAACCTGAAGGTTGCGGGTTCAACTCCTGATGAGGTCACTGAATTTTTTCAGCTTACCTAATCCTTCCAGCTGCGCTATGGACCTGGGGTCAACTCAGCCTCTTAAAGAAATGAGTACCAGGATGATTCCTGGGGGCTAAAGGGCGGCGGGCACATAAGACTGGCACCTTACCACCATTTGTGAGCAGATGTGGGAGCCTCGACGTCTCACGCCCTACGGGCCTTCACGGCCTATTACAGGGACACCTTTACCTCTTGTTGCATTTGTATTTACCAGGGCTAAAAGCTAATATGGGTCCCACTATAACACACTGATCCCAAGAGGTGCGTCTTTTGAAAACCTGGGAAATGCTCCCTTGTGATGCAGGCTCTGTTAACAAATCCAGACTCTCAACCTTGAAGTTGGTGGCCCTGGGTGCACTCTGTGGTGAGAGCACAGAATGTAATAAATAGGAGTGGGGTGAGAGGCCAGTATCTGGAACCTTAAAAATGGGATCCTTTGGCTAGGGGAGTACACCCCAACAGAAAACCTGAGCCTTCAATGTAGTAAAGGTTAGGCACAGGGCTAACAACCCTGCCTCATAAAATATTAAATGTGCAGAAACCCGAAGAAATATACTGGACAGACTAATGGATGGTAACTGTATGGAAGGCTAAACTAAGGGGGTCATGAAGCCAGACAAGATTATTTACCACATGCAAATATCACAAAGTTTATGGTCTTTTTGTAGGAGGGTTTCACAGCAGTGACTATGAAGAATGCCATCTTCTGTAATGTGCTGCCATGTAGATCTCATGTGAACAGACGTTTCAGAGGAATGCATTGCCTTCATCTCCAGGTTAGAAAAATCCATGAGTGAGGAACCAGCATGAGCAGGTGGGAAGCAGACTGAGCCATCAGGTTATGCAGGTTACCGCATGCTTGGCAGCTCAAGCCCCGAGGCTACTGGGTCAATGATCACTCAGTAACCCTGGCTTTTTTCCCATCCCCAACAACTTTCCTCTACCTGCTCCCTGTTCCTATTTGCCTGGCCTTCTTACCTGATCTTTACAGACCCTACCCCTCTCCTCTCTATTGATTTCCCATCTGGCCCAGTCTCCTTACCTCCCTGGTCTTATGTAGCTGGATGTTTTCGACTGGTGGCTCAGTCTGCTAGCCACCTGCTAACGCTGGTTCCTTGCTCGTGGATTTTTCTACCCTGTAGATGGAGGAGATATGTTCCTCTGAAATGTCGATTCACACATGATCTACACACTGCCACATCCCAGATGATGGCATTTGTCATGATTTTTTATCATCTTTATTTCACATACAGTATATGTAACACCAATCATTTGTGTGTACATAAAAATCCACACATCTAGGTACTAATGGCAGCATAAGCAGGTATATTCATGAACAGCCACTTAGCCCATGTGGTATAAAGTTTGTCAAGCAAGGAATTACAATATGCACCATTCTCAATTAACCTAACCCCCTCCCCTTTCCTAGGGCAAGGGTTTACTGTTTTTATTAAGTCCTTTCACAAGATTCGCCACTTGTTTTAGACAGTGGGACTGCATTAACACACAAACTGGGGGATGGAGAGATACCTCTGTGGGCCACACAAAACCAAATGGTGGGTCACAAGCCATAAACTGGACAGCCCAGAACTAGAAAACCGAAATCCCCTATTAAAAATAAACGTAAAGAAGAGTACGGTTTATTTGAGTCCACTTTATCCTTGTACAATGAGATCTGTCAAGAACACACACTCAGAGAGAGAGAGATTCACACTCCTCCCATCAAGTCAGGATGAACCATAATGCACAGGAGTTCTGTCAAGAAAACTAACTGTAGTATAAGCATGTCAGGATACCCCTCCTTCCTCCAACAGCTTTTGAACAGCATGCCATCATTTTCTATCTAGATATATACAGTTTGCCACTCTTCCTTCAAACAAATCACAATGTTCAATGTGGTTTCTCAGGACACTCATCATAATTTTTAAGGAATTTCACAGAACCATTAAACTATTTCACCTATTTCTATTATTATAATTTCATTTTGAGCCTTAGCCTCTTGCAATTCATTCAGTTTCCTAATTTTCCATGTGTCCATACAGGTACCTAGGATATGGAAATAGTCCCTTATCGTGTTAAGAAAAAAAGATTAAACTAATCTCTAAAGACTTATATGGTAACAATTTCCTGAAATTAAAATCCAGCTCTAAAATAATCTAATGTATAGTGAAACCAAAGTTTCAGTTTTCTTAAACACTGTTCACATGGTCTCATGTTTAGTGGTAGTAGAATCAGATTAACTAAAAGTGACATTATGTCACATCAAGCAGCTACTCTGCATTTTAACAATCTTACAAGGGTCTACATTAAACTCTATTGATAAAATTTGCTACAAGTCTCCCTCCATCACACATATATTGGTGATCTCGTTCACTTTCCTAAGAGTATATATAGTATAGAGTATATTATACTGTGGCCATGGAAATAAGTCCCATGGTTGGTAGGGATGATGGTGCTCAAGACTTCCTCCTTCCTGCCTACAATCTCGCCAGCCTCCTCTGACATGTCCATCCCAAAACACTTGCTGCTAAAGGCAGTCATTTTTAACATTCCACTCAACTGAATTACTAGACAATTGGAGGGGCATACAAGTAAATACGCTTTGGGAATTGTTCCCGTGGTCACACTATAGTAATCGGATTAAAATTATAACTTTCCTGCCTCCTTTCCATCAGTAGTGACGTAAATGAAAAGATAATGAAATATCTTAACAGAGAGGAAAATTTAACCTATTACGTAATGCAGTACGACACGTGAAATCTCACATACACAGTGCACTAATTTTAAAACGGCTGGACTGTACTGCTTGAACAGTTCTTGCACTTGACTACCGCAATTCACACACGTATACAAACTTGACCTAGCCGCCATTTCTCAATTCGAACATACACGGAGCGCACTCAAACGCGCGTGTTGAACGATTATGGTTTTTCGCCATTTTTGACATCTTCGATGACACTACCTACCAACTTAACGTTATAGAAAAATAACCTTCGAAAGGTTTTATTCTTTACTTGGCTTACTCATCGATCCTGCAGACGGACGCGATGTTCCTTCGAAAATCTGGGGCTTTCTGAACTACAGCGAACAATAACCCAAAAGACCGGGGGCACACCAAGGAAACTGGCAACCGCAACGCAACCACGATTTCCGAGATACTCGTATATCGCCGATTTCAAGCAGGCAACTGGTTTCCAAATTAGCAGGCTCACGCTGAGGAAACTTACGTTCGATTAGTTGCTCACAGCAACTCAAGTGGGTGTGTTTGCCCGCCAATTTCGTGCAATTCTCTTCTGCAATGTCAGATAATACTATTGTTCCTGTAATGATATGATGGTGGTTCAGACACTGTAAGATGAGAATACAGGAGAAGAGAAAACATTGGGTGCACCCGTTCTTTCTATACAATTTAAACTCAGGTGTTTATATTGTTTCGAAATAATTTAAGCACAGGGACAACTTTGCCCTACCTTTACCGACATGTATCAGTTCCAAGTTGGTACAACTGTTGATTGGTCGCCAATGCCACCAAAGAATGCAAAAGCGGAAGATAAGAAAGAAGTGTGGCGCGATATGTTTATCTGTATGAATTTTGAAAGATCTGAAGCATACAAGCAGAAGGTGATCCTTGGATAAGCACGTTGGTTCAGTTGAAAAGAATAGGTATTTGCAAGATTTATAATGCACACAACTTAAATAGACACCAATTTGCGATTTATGAATGACGCAGGGTATTATTTGAGGTTAGAGAATGTATGACCATTACAAGAAGAGAAACACTTTTATATTAATTTTCTTTTGCATTGATACGTGGGAGTCATTATATACAACATAATTGTATCCGTAACAATCTTTTTTTTTCTCTTAAAACGTATATGACCACAATGTAACTAGGCCTGAAACATGGCAGATTTATTTTATCTTGAAGTGAACTGTATTACCTTCGTAATATATGGAAGGGTCAAGTTCGACCATCATTTGTTTGAGAAAAGTAGGTTGTTGGAACATTTTGTAACTGTTCTCCAGGCACAAGCATTACCACATTAGCTGACAGGATGCAACTGTGAAGAACCTATGATATCAGTTCAAGAAGTTTTATTGCATTATAAAGCAGATGATGTAACTATTTGTAACCAAAAATGTCTCAATTTTCTGAACACATCACTTATAAATTTGATATAATCTTAATTCTTTAACCCTTAACAGTCCAGATTTGTTGCACTGACTGTTATTTGTAAACACAGAATAACAGCCTTTGTGCCACAACATTAGTTTATCGGAACATAGATCAGTGTAAAGAAGGGGATCTGGTTGTTGTGTTAGTGGAAGATATATCAAGTACACAGCAGGCACTCTCCCTACTCTGTCACACATATGTTGTGTGTTAGGTCTCTCTGATATTTATAAAATGTATCACAATTTATGAATGTATGAGGGGTAGGCCTCCTCGGCCCTTGCACCAAGGAGGCCTACCCCTCATACATTCATAAATTGTGATACATTTTATAAATATCAGAGAGACCTAACACACAACATATGTGTGACAGAGTAGGGAGAGTGCCTGCTGTGTACTTGAAATATCTTCCACTAACACAACAATCAGATGCCCTTCTTTACACTGATCTACGTTCAGATAATCTAATGTTGTGGCACAAAGGCTCTGAACTGTTCAGTGATTTTATCGTTTATCATTATTTGTTATGTGATCTGATATTTGCCACTGAAGTCTTTTGCCTTGTCACTTGATATCTGCACATTATAGTTTATTATTATTATTTTATTAAGTTATCTTTTGTAGATCAAAGTGTACAATGTAACTGTTGCTACAAATATTATATTTCTGGACATTATCATCCTGTTTTTATTGAAAAAACAATGTTTTGGAGACTGGATTATGTCTCTATCCTGAGGTGAAACCTACTCTGTTGGGCCCAATCGACATAGTCCCTATCTCTGGACACCTGCATAAACACAAGTACAGTATGCAAGCCAAGCACAACACAAACCATCTGTAAGAGTTAAGACAAAATATCAAAAAACTACACACATATGAGGCCTAAAAACAGAATACCATCAGAATAGAAATCATCATTTGAGAGATAAATTCTCTGTATAGTACCAACATAAAAATTCAGAATTTTCCCACTTAATCTACACTGGATGGATTTGTAGCTTTTTTGACTTCTGCTATGATAACTGGAGTCCAGATGGGAGAGATATCCAGCTGGGTTGACTGATCAGATGGCGCACATTGTACACACTCTGCTTCACCTGCTGGGCATATCTGACTGTTCTAGTTTTTATTAATACCAACAGATTGTTTGTTTAGTTTTGAAAATGGTCCTGACGTTGAAATGGTTTCCAGTGCATCTGAATGTCAATGTCAAGAACATTCAGTATCCTATGTGATTGTGGCAGATGTTATATTGGCGAAACAAGCAGACCTTTAGAAGCAAGCATTAAGGATAACCTGAATAACCTGACAGAAGATATGCTTGAAAAACCAAAATTAGCCCAATATGCATACGAAGAAGGCCACAGAATATGTTTGAAAGAAGCGAAACTCGCAGATTGAACCAAACACCACATACAGGAAATGCATGGAATCTGCCCATATGTCTCTGATAGGCCATCCAATCAGTCCACCCAGCTTTGACATCTCCCCCATCTTGTCTCCTGTTATCACAGCAGAAATAAAAAATCTACAACTCCATCCATGTAGATTATGTGGGAATATTCCAAATTTTTATGTTGGTACCATACAGAGAATTTATCTCTCCAATGATGACTTCTCTTCTGATAGTACTCTGACATTCGGCTTCATATGTGTGGAGATTTTTTAATATTTTATGTTTTGTCTTAACTCTCACAGATGGTTTGTGCTGTGCTTGGCTTGTATACCTTATCTTCAGTTGGTGCTGGTGTTTGGAGATAGGGACTACCTCTACAATTGGTCGCAGTTGAGCATGTTTTACCTGAAGATGGAGACAGAATCCAGTCTCCAAACTGTTGTGTTTTAAATAAAAACAGGACAGTGGATAATGTCCAGAAACATAATATTTGCATGAATGTACCATCATCACAAACTTTTAGATTTAACTGTTCCCAATTTAAAATTTGCCCTTAGCTCCATTTCTCTACTTTTGGACACCTGTAAGTAATAGCAACCCAGTACTGGCTCATTCTTTAACCCTGAAAATGGAAGAAGTATAGTGCTCCAAAATGCTGGTAGACAGACCACACAGAATCACGTCCCAGAAGACGGTGCTCTTCATAGTCACTACTGTGGGAACCTCAAATCCAATAGTTCAGAATTTGTTGGATTTGAGGTTCCCACAGTAGTGACTTTGAGGAGTACTATCTTCTGAGTTGCAATACCATGTAGTTTGGAGACAACCCCACATTTCACAGGAACATATTGTCTCCATACTGAGGGTTGAAGAGTAAGCCAGGCAAGTAACTGCTGGAGCTTGCTGTCTGCTTCTGGTGGTACCTCACTTGTCTTATTCTTTGACCTTTAAGTTGGGGGAGATGTGTTCCTCCAAATTGTTGGACTGTTTCCAGAATGCGTGGTGTTGCAACCCGAAAGACTGTACACCAATTCAGAATGTTTCTTATTCCAGATTGTGTATGTGACCTTGTACAAGTAGTGTAGTGGAATTATAAAAAATACTAATTACATTTTTCAGTTCCTTTTTTCGAATTAACTGGCAGATCAGAATAATGTCCAAAAAGCCAGTCAAGCCAATGGCAATGAAGAAAACAGCAAGGCAAAGAAAAGCTGCAAATGGGTATAAGTTACCTGACCCCATTCCTGTTGGAGAAATTGTAAGGGATGTAACTAAGAAGGAATGGCAGATCGGTCCTTCAATAGGCATTGGCGGATTTGGAGAGATCTATGCTGGTACGTTCATTACTGTACACACCCTGTCACTTATTGCAGAGAGGTCTTTTGGGAGACCAAGATGTAAATGGAAAGGTAATGCTAACACTAATGTCACTTAATTGTGTTTACTGTCAGAAATTTTATTCCTTTGAGTAGTGTTTTTGAGAATACAGTGGTTATAAAAGTTTCATATTTTAACTTCAGTTCATAATTATATTATTTGTATCAAAATAAAGAAGGAAACTGCTAAGTAGTGCTTTTTTCGTTGTCCCTCAAATTCCCCTTTTTTCTGTTATAGCATCAGACGTTTCACACTCTCCAAGAAAAAAGGCTGCTTTACCTTACGTTATAAAAATTGTAAGTGACATTACATTAAGTATATTTTTATAATTCCTCACAGTACAGCATTAAAGCTCTCATGTATACATAATTATCTTATTTAAGAGAGTTTTTCTGCACAGCTAATTGAGAGACTTGAGGGTAATTAGTTGGAGAGAAAGCAGTTGTAACTTAATTTAAGCAGTTTGATAAGCATTGTTGCATTTTAAGAAACTGAAATTACCATATGTATTCTCCTATTTTTAGGAACCCCATGGTAATGGACCCTTATTTGTGGAAATGCATTTCTATATGAAAGTGGCAAAACCTGATCAAAGTAAGTACTTACTCTGTGTGTCAAGGATGTTTAGAAAGGAATAATTTGATTTCATATTTCAAAATTTAAAGCATAAACATTTACATATTATACACATATTACAGATTTATGTAGCTCAGAATCTGGTGTAATACAGGAATTTCTGGCGAGCAAATGTTTCTTCCAATGCTTAGGTCTGTCTCCAGTTATTCTGCAAATGTTTTGCCCTCATCTGTTATAGCTTCTGAGTTGATGACAGGCCAGACCAGTGAAATGATATTACACTTTGACCTGAGCTGGAGCTTCACCTCTGAACTGACACTTGCATGAAGTCAAACGTAAAGGAATTTTTCATATCTGTATGATGTTTGCAATGTATAACTTCATCCTTCAGGGATAAGACACATCTTCAGCCTAGACATTGTGATTAAAATGTATGCCAGAATCTACCTTTGACATGACTAAAATAAAAAAAAGTGAAGTTCTGCATCAAATGTGAGCTGCAGAGATCAAAGGTCTAGAATATATTACGTTTCCAACACAAGCTTGAAAATGAAGTTTTCACAGTTTAAAGCTTGACAAGAACTCACTGTCCACTGTCAGGTTACTAAACCTCTCATAGCTTCACCAGAAATAAATTAGTCATCTTTCTCAGAGACTGTGACGTGCCTCTCAAGCTTCAGTGGTGGTGTCAGGAACTCTGTTTTACTTCCCCATTCAGACAATTGTTTTATTTCTGATGCCCTACCGTCACACAGTGAACACATGGGGTTGTCTTTTTGGAGGTAGTCCTTATGGGAAGATACAAAAGGAAGGAAAAGGCTTTGTCATAGAGTGGATATCTTATGGAAAATTATCAGTTGTGATAGCTCTATAACCATAACCTCTCCTCCAACATAATTAACTGAAACACATTTCTAGCTTACTTTCCTTTAGGTAGAAAGTAAGTTTATGAGATCACCACATTGTATGTATCCCTCCTTTCAACTTTTGAATCAGTTGACCAAAATCGTATGAACATTTTGCTATTGGAGACCACCACTGACATGTCTTCTACTGGGTGTGAACAAAATGGCTACCCAGAGGTCCTGCAGTAAGAGTAATTAATAATAATTGGTAATACGTTAAATAAAAGGCAAGCTTAGAGAGACATATCACAGATTTTGATTAAATGATACAGACCAGATAATGACAACTGCCATCACAAGAAAAAGTGCAATAACAAAAAAGTAAGACTGGCCCACAGAACTGTGTCATGGGGGTCAAAGAAACATTAATGTTACCAGGGAAACCAGTGGAAAATCCCAGGCAGGTGGTGGTGATAGCAGTAGTAGTGATTGCCACAGGCACAGTTCAGTTCTCTCACCAGCTACTCATTAACCCAGCACATTATTGTTTAATTATTAACTTATTTCACTTAAATACAGCACTTGACAACAAAGATTTGTATGTATCAATGCAGGGGAAAAGTAGGGTCTGTGAGTTCTGCCCAAATTCGTTGTTTGCCTTATTACCAGAAATTCTGATAGAGATGTTATATTTCATGTTGAATAACTTAAAGAAATTTGCAGTTGTATTTAATTGCATTAAGTAATGTTAGGCCCAAATAATATATTATACAGCCCTCCTTTTAGGAGAAACTGTCCCAATGACAAATTTAAACCATATTTGTGAAAATTCTTGTAAGTGCAACATGAATATTCTGCTGTCCTGGAGCTAACATTATATACTGACATAAGAAATATTTGCATAGTCAGTTCATGCAGTGAAATGGTATGTTTCAGTTGAAGAATGGAAAAAGCAGAAAAAGTTGAAGTCACTAGGTATGCCTCGATATCTTGGATCTGGCTCTCATGAGTGTAATGGACTGAAGTACCGCTTTGTGGTGATGGACAGATATGGAAAGGATCTTTGGTCCCTGTTTCTTCAGAATAAACGAGTGTTTATGTTACCAGCAGTTTTGAGAGTGGGTCTGCAAATAGTAAGTATTAAGCACCCATTCTCTGTCTGAGATATATCAGGATGCTGTCATGGAAACTGTGATATTTGTATGTGACAGAAAAGTATTTTACTTATAAGAAAGAAAGAATGTTCAATTGCAATAGTGGAAAACATAGGACTATAGAACATTCAGAAACTTGCAACTTAAATATTTTCACACCAAAAGAAGACATATTGTAGTTGGTAGACATCAGTCATACAACTGGCTAGCAAACTACATAGTATATGTTGTCATTCAAAAGATAACCAACCTCCTGGAGCTAAATCATTTAGAAGCCAGTACTTGCTGAGCTACTGAAGAAATTATCAGCGTTCAGGGGAATGCAAAAGTTCACTACCCTGGCTACAAGAGACCGTCACTGATCACTGTCATGAGCCAAATGACTCCAGTCCACACACTCATGTCCAGCATATTAAAGATCCACCTTAATATTATCCTCATCTCTGTGCCTAAGTCTTCCCAGTGATCTCTTTTCTTCAAGTTTCCTTACTAAGACTTTGTATTGCATTTCTCTTCTCTTACATCTGTGCCACATGACCCACCCACCTTCCTTGAGTTCATCATCATAATAATATCTGGAACACAGTACAACTTACAAAGCTCCTTGTTGTTCAGTTTCCTCCAGCCTCTTATTACTTCCTCACTTTTATGCCCTGAGCACCCTATTCTCAAGCATCTTCAGTCTACATTTTCCCTTAATGTGCAATAAATTTCATGCCCATACAAAACAAGGAAAATTGTAGTTTTGTATAACAAACTTTATGTTTTTAGATAGCAGATGGAAGATAAAAGATTCTGCTCTGAATGGTAGTAAAAAAAGACTTTTATTGGTTTTGAATAACCTATATTTTATATTCTTATTATAATTGTCTTAAATGATTTACGATATTGTATCGGACTTTACGTTCTGCAATTCAGTGGTGTATGTTTGTTGAAGTGTATTCACCTGAGGATGGCCACTAGTGGCCGAAACATGTAGTGAACTGTATCTGGGCGTTGTCCCTGAAGTTCTTTGATTGTTGTGTTGTGACAACCCAATAAATAAGTTGTATGTAGTACTCATAATTAATACACAATATAGTTCATCTATGAGGATGGTCCGATATTAAAAGTACAAGTGTTTGTTGTATATGGCCTGCACATGACGTCTGGATGTCACTTGCATATATTGGTATGTTGGGTAGAGGACAAGTAGCCATGCTAGTGTAATTGTTCTTCATCCATGTATCTAAGCTTTACAAGCGAACAGAATCGCCAGTGTGATTGAAAATTATTCCAAGTTTGAGATCCTCTTGGTGGTCAGATTTTTGCAAGTAGAAGGAGTGAATTAGAGCAAGATTCATCACATTTTAGTGATTGGTTATGGCCAGAATGTTTCCGGCTGAAAGGAAGTGTCTGTGTGGTGCAACAAGTTTAAAGATGGCTGAATGGCACTGAATGATGGCTGACCCACAGAAACACAGAGGCAGACCAAGGACCTTGCACACTTTAAGGAAAGATTGAAGAATCAAAGTTCATGAAATTGCTGAAGTGATAGGTATTGCAAAAAGCACTGTTCATGAAATCATCTCAGATTTAAAGTTCCCTAAAAGTCTGCTTACTGGGTTCTGAAAATGCTCACCAAGGAGCGTGAAAGCAAAAGAATGGCTGCTTCACTTGAAAATCTTTGCTATTACCAAGATGAAGGAGAGTCATTCGTGGAAAGCATCATTTTGAGAGATGAAGCATGGGTTTATGAGTTCACACCAGAATTAAAAAGAAACTCCATGACTTTGAAACATCCTCATTCACCCACCACAAAAAAAAATTCAAAATTGAGCTATCTGCAAACAAACAGTGGTGACTGTGTTCTGGGATTGTGAAGGCTTCCTGCTGCATGAATTTCTCCCACCAAAAACAGCAATTGACAGAGACAGATACTGTTAAACTCTTGAAAAATTGTGCAAAACCATTGCACAAAAGAGACCAGGAAGATTAACCCCTGGAATGAGGCTTCTGCATGATTGAGCACAACCTCACACTCCAGCCCAGACAGTGGCCTGGTTGCAAATGTGGAAGTGGGAGGTTCTAAAGCATCCACCACGTACATAGTCCAGATTTAGCACGATCAGACTTCTACTTCTTCAGACCATTTAAGAACTTAGGAAAAAGATTTGAGGACCAAAATGCATTGCAAAAAACAGTTGTGTAATACTTCACATCCCTTGGAAAGGAACACTACTGTGCAGCAATGTTTGAACTTGTAAAATGATGGGATAAATATCTGAATCATAACAGTGACTACATATAAGATAAACATTAGTATGTAGTGTTTCTTGACTTTATTAAAATTCTTTTGCAATAAATATGTTGATGTAATTTGGTGCTGTACCTTTAAATTCAGACCACCCTCATATACAAACAGTTGTGCATATTATTTCCCCATTTCCTCCTTCATAATACCCTTTGGTTTAATAATAGTTGTGTTTTCTTTTTAGATTGATGTATTAGAGTACATTCACAGCAAGATGTACGTTCATGCGGATATCAAGGGGGGAAATCTGTTGCTGGGCTTTCAGAAGGGCACAGAGAACCAGGTCTATCTTGTTGATTTTGGATTGGCTTCTCACTATTCACAGAAGGAATACAAGCCAGACCCAAAGAAAGCTCACAATGGAACCATTGAGTACACAAGCAGAGATGCTCATGTTGGAGGTAACTGCCCTCTTAAGTATAACACTGACTCACTTTCTTTTTTGGCATAACAGTAGAGAAATGTTTCACAGTAAATGTATGCATCCAAAAATAACCCCACTTAGTTATTTAGCAGCAAAGCAGTGAGGCAGCCCTGAATGCATAGAAACTCCCCCCCATAACTCTTATTCATCCTGTTGAATTTACAGCAGAATGCACATTGCTTGCACAAGGATAACAGAACACACTTGTGACTAGAGGTACTGGATGCATATTATACAAGCAGAGTACTAGTCTCACTTACTTACTCATGGAGCTGAGCACTTCTTGAGGAGCCGCCAGTTCTGCAGCTACTCAAGAATTTCCCAGCATTTTATGGAACCCAAATGTTCACTATCGTGTTCACAAGAGCCCTCTTAGATCCATTTTAATATTGTCCACCCACCTACACCATGGTCTTCCCAGTGGTCTCTTTCCTTCTGGGTTTCCCACCCATATCCTATATGCATTCCTTGTCTCCCCCATTCGTGCTACGTGGCCTGCCCACCTCATCCTCCTTGACTTGATCATTCTAATTATACTTGGAGAAGAGTACAAGTTATAAAGCTCCTCATTATGCAGTCTTCTCCAACCTCCTGCAACTTCATCTTTTCTTTGGTCCAAATATTCTCCTCAGCACCCTGTTCTCAAACACCCTCAGTCTATGTTCCACCCTTAATGTCAGAGACCAAGTTTCAGACCCATACAGAACCACAGGCAAAATTATAGTTTTGTATATTTTAATTTTTATGTTTTTGGACAGCAGACAAGAAGACAAAACTTTCTGAACTGAGTGGTAGCAAGCATTATCTGAGTTCAGTCTCATTAATTTCCTCCTGAATCAGGTTTTGATTTGTTGTCATTCTCCCCAAATATCTGAACTGTGCCACATTTTCAAGACATCTGTTTCCTATCTTTATGTCATGATTTTGCCCTGCATTTTGGTGACAAGAGAGAAACATATACTTAGTTTTCTTTGTGTTTACTTCTAGACCAACCTCCTTACATGCATCAATTAAAGTTTGTGTTTTTCTTTATGGTATCTATATTATCACCCAGTGATTCACATCATTGGCACAGACCAACAGCTGATGTGTCCTGTTTAATTTCAGTCCCACCTAGTTTTCTTTAAAGCAAAGTCGAAAAGGAGTGGCGATACAGCATCTCTTTGTTTTAGACCATTTTGGATAGGAAGTTCATCAGACAAATGTATGATAGCTGATAGGGGCCATAAATAATGTAAAGAAAAAGAGTGAATTAAATTATTACGCATATGTAACGGTAGTGATTATATGTTAATAAAGCTTCATTTATAGCACCCGACTTACAGAAGGCCACATGCATGCACCTACTCATTTTCAGTCTTCCTATCTCTGCAGTTCTCAGTAGTTAATTTTAGGCACAATCATATCCCTCAAAGCTTAACTTGCTCATGACTCAGTAAATTCTTATCAGTTGTATGTCCAGTGTTTTGGTGACAGCCTACTGTTTTAGAGGAACACATTGCCTCCAGCATAGCAAAAATTCAGCAGAAGCAGGTTGCAAGCTCAATTTCTTGCTTGGCTTACTCTTTGACCCTGAAGATCAAGGTAATGCATCCCCCCAAAATGTTTGACTGTTAGACTCTGTCCAAATGACACTGCCATTGCAATCCAGGAAACTAACAAAACGTCTGAAACAGTAATACAAAAAATGTAATACATTTTATGCAAAATATACTCTTTCTGTAATCTTGCAGTTTTTGGAATAACGAAACCAGGGAACAAATGCATCTGCATTGTTACACTATCTATTCAACTCTGAACTTGTTATCTAATGAATTCAGAAGCTCAACATCATAGTATGTATTTTAAGCACAAGATTACCTCATCTTTGTAAGAATAGATATTCTGAAGATGTGAACGTGTATTTTGTTTTCAGTTAACCTCTTTTCCTCAGCTGAGACAGAACCTACAATTTTATGCTAACCTAACATGTCTGTTGGTGATATGTCAGTGCCTGATTGAATCAGATACACGTTTACAGTGACTTGAAAGTTTAATTTATTTTTTCTTGATAATTTTAACTGATTCTTTCAGTACCTACAAGGAGAGGTGATCTTGAGATATTGGCATACAATATGTTGCAATGGCTGACTTCCAAACTTCCGTGGGAAAACAATTTAAGTGATCCACTGTATGTACATCAGCAGAAATCTAAATATATGGACAACATTCCTGAACTCATGAAGAAATGTTTTCCTAAGACTACTCCACCTGGTAATGTATCACAAAATATACCATGACACAACAGCAGAAAGCCCAATTAAACCCATCCCATTCATGGAAATTTTATGATATTAAGGTTGTCAGTACCAGTCATTGAAAACAAAAGATGTTTTAATGTTCTGCATTTAATTTCTGTCATATAGAAGGAATTTGTTGGGAAAAGACAAAGAATAATGACCAGCATATATAAAAGCCAATAATAAGGAATGCAGAAAAATGGAAGGTACTTAGCCACTCTAAAAAGATAATATTGTCCCTGTGCTCAACTGAACATCACACCAGGAACAGGTATGCAGATATAGTTCAACGTGTTCCTAACCTCAGCACCAGAGGGGTTGAGTGATCAGATTCACTACCTGTCTCCTTTATCTACCCCCCTGGAAAGAGCCCTCATCACCCATTGTTTTGGCCCAGAGCCAGTTTTTTTTTTTTTCTCCCCCACACCTAATATACAGAGAAGTTATTTCAGTTGGCTAAATATATATATTTTAATGTTTCACAGTGATCTTTATTTGGAGATGAATAATTTTGAAATTGTTGAAATCTAATCCCAATTTTTTTTGGGGGGGGTGGGTTCTGTATTAATAATTGTCATGGGTGCTTATGGAAGAGATTATTAATTACATCTATAAAGAATTAGTTTAGCTGAATTTGACATATATTTTTTTTTATCCCCATTCCTCCCCCAAGATTGGGATCCACTTGGCTTAAAAATGTTCAGTATGTTCTTTATCACTGTCCCCCCAACTTGAGTGTAGCATCTATCTCTCTCTCTCTCTCTCTGTCCACCTTCCCACAATTAACATTGGTGAGCTACAAATGTTTACTGTCCCTGTCAGAACTGTCCTTTTATCTACTTGTAATTCAGTTTCTATTACAGTGAATGTCCATTATAACAAGAATGTACAAAGTGAGAAAAAATTCATATTACAGTATGACACTGTAGCCAGACTGAAAGTGTGCAAATAGATGAATTGAGCAGTATAAGAAATATATCAGAGTTGACTTAAGTTACTGATCTCTCTTTTCCTAACATGTTAATATAATTTGTATCTTTCCAGCCGTACTGGTCAAGTATTTTCAGTATGTTGCTAGCCTACGGCATGATGCAGATCCTGACTACGAGTACTGTCAGAAGTTACTGAAGAAGGGTCTCAAGGATTTAAACTGCTCTGTGGGTGGAAACTTGGATCTCTCAGCAAAAGCACCTGTAACTAGAAGTAGTCCAACGAAAGCAAACAACAAGATTCCTTCCAGTGATGACAAAGCTACCGCATCTGACACTGAGCCACATAATAAAAAGAAAGTTGTGGCCAGTGGAACTGGAAATCTGAATCGAACAAAACAGCTCAGAGATCATTTTTCTGGTAGCAGTTCCAGCGATGAATCTGATTATGACAAAGATAATGCTGATAACTACAGCAAGAAGGCAAAGTTATGTAATACAAACAAGAAAACTAAAACTAATCCTGTTCCCAGCTGGAGAGACTGTCCAACAGCAATTGCAAGTAATGTGAACAGAGCCGGAGAATACAAAAGAATAAATCATGATAATGAGAACCAGAGGGTTAAGAAACAGAAGAAGAAAACAGATGCTTGATAGTAAATTTGCCATGTTACATGTGTTTCTTTGTGACTAAAAATGTTAAGACTGATAATTGCTTAAAAGTTGCATTTCACTGAACAGTTCTGTTCTCTTGTCTAACACAGTGGCAGTAATAAATGTGGCACAAGTTTATACTTCCCTCTTTGGTTCTGCAACATGTTTATGCATTACTGTACTTAAACCATCCAAAAGTGTCAATAATTACAGAGTACTTGTAACTGCTCTTGTGTATTTTATCTCAAATCATTGAAAATTTTGGAGAGATTCATGATTGAATTTAATTAGCATCACAGATCTTAAATGCTGCAAACCCTCAAGGAAGCACACTGCATGGTTTTATTGTACCATATTTGGAGTTTGTTTGTTGCAGGACCTTTCTTGTTACGATTTTCATGTCGATCCTGAAGCATGAAACTCTTCTTGGGAGTGCCATTTTCTGAAGCCATTATGTTAATTCTTGCATGAGAAATAATATTTAGTATAAGTAGTAAAACTTATGCTCTATCTACAGAATACAAATCTCTGTCATTTGTAGGTACGTTTTTTGGTTGGTATGAAGAGGAGTTGCAATATCTGAGACAACAGAAAATTCTGGCTAGCACTTGTAAGGCAAATCAGTTTATCTCACTCCAGCAAGCTGTGCATAATTACTTGATTTTTGCCCTTTCTCCTCTTGCAGCCTAGTGTTCTTTTAGAGTTTGGCTCCCTTTCCTAGTATATTTTTTATATTGTTGGTTCTGAACCTGTCCTAAATTTATTAGCTGTTTATAGTTTCACTATCATCACCATCAACATCTGGGATTAAGTAGTGGGCTGTCCTCAATTACAAGGATTAAAACTGTTCCCTCTTTTTGTTCGATGTTCTTGGCTTCTACTCTTCATGGGATTTCGTTTTCTGGCATCAGTTTCATTATCAGAAGAACTAAGACCAATTCTTGCGTGCCAATTTCCATAACAATGGAATTTCAAGCATAGTATATACAGGCTTCAGAAGTGAAGTGTACAGGAATGTCAGTATCAGTCAGGGACATTTTGGTGTCCAGTGTATTCTGATTTTTCATAAAATTACAAAGTGGAATCATGTGTTTAATAAAACACTTTTACTTAAGCTATACTGCTTAGCTGGGTAACTCATGGTTACACTTCTATTAAGAGGGATACAAATGTACATGTGTAAGATATTAACCAAGATGTAACTTTTTTACCACTATGCAGAGTAACAGAAAGTAAACATTAACTTCTTGTTTGCTGTTAGTGCAACAAATACCATACCAGTGGCACAATATGTTTAAGTAAGTTATCAAATATAGATTGATTTTGTTCTTTTAATTTTAATTGTAAACAGTATTAATTTTCTTTGTCTCTGGCAATAGAATGTCAAGCCTAGTGGTATTAACGGTTTAAATTTCTGTTTGAACATACTGAAGCTTATAAAAATTTTGCTATAGAGAACAGTTTGCCTGTCACAAATTTAATCCCTCTTCCGTTCCTGATCAGCATTGTACTGTGCCACACATGAGAATTGTAACATGGTACTTTTGCATCAGGAAATTATGTTCATAAAAATCCTGTAGTTTATTTTTTTTTCATGCCAGTTTTCTTAATTTCTTTGCTATCGACTGGTAAATTTAAGTCCAGCAGTCCATCACATAAAAAAAAAGGTGGGAACTTAAATGAGTAAATATGATTTCTTGTTATTATATTATTTTTTAATGATATGTTCATACTGAGTGTCCATTTGTGTAACTGCAGCCTAGCGTTTGTTATGCTCAGTTTCAAACTGTACTTTTATTTGTACTCCATTTTCATAAAGTTTAACATTTAATGTTATTTTAAATGATAAATGTGCTTTCGTAGATGTAAATATTCATGATTCACTTGTAAACTTTCATGCCTAATAATAGAATAGAAGAACACTTTTTGAAATCTGAACATTGAGTCTGATTCACAATATGATTCTGCTCAACATTATTTAGAGTCCTACTTATGCCAAATACATTGCTGATTATTATTGTTTGTTCAAGATAAATAAGAATTAACATAAAGTTCCTCATATTTCTAGTTATGGCATTAAGGTATGTGCCCTACCTCACTGGGTTAAATTACTGATTCTGGTTGCTCAAATTGATGACTTTAATATTTACGTGGATAGGCACTTTTCAGCTGTGTTAAGAATTCCTAATAGAATACTGAGGAAACAGGCACTTCTTGGAACATTAGAACAGATCAATGAATATTTTATAAGCACAGTTTCATTCTGACATGTTCCATTCTTTGGGATCCTTAATTCTCCTTAGCATAATTTCACTCACCCACTCACTCATGGAGCTGAGTCCTCCTTGAGAAGCTACCAACTGTGCAGCTACTCAAGAATTTCCCAGCATTTTATGGGAAACCAAAGGTCCCTATCCTGAGCCAGATCAATAGAAGATCCATTTTAATATTGTCCACACACCTATGCCTTGGTCTTACCAGTGGTCTCCTACCTTCTGGCTTTCCCACCAATATTTTGTATGCATTCCTCTTTTCCCCCCATTCATGCTACATGCCCTGCCCACTTCATCCTTGACTTCATTCTAATGTTATGAAGTTATGAAGTTTTCTGTTATGCAGCTTTCACCAACGTCCTGTCACTTGATCTCTCTTCAGTCCAAATATTCTCAACACCCTGAGTGTATGTTCCTCCCTTAATATCAGAAAGTTTCACACCCATACATAACTGCAGGTAAAAAATTTTGTATATTCTGATTTTTATGTTTTGGAGAGCAGACAAGAAGACAAAAGGTTCTGGACTGAATGGTAGCAAGCATTACGAGAATTCCATCTGCTCTCAAATCAGGTTTTGATTTATAATTGTCCCCAAATATCTTAACTGTGCCAAATTTTCAAAACATGTTTCCCATCTTTGTCATGATTTTGCCGACAAGACAGCAATTATTTTTGTGTTTACTTCTAGACCAACCTCCTTACTTGTGTCAAAGTTTGTGCATCTTTCTTTATGGTATCTCTATGATCACCCTGTAGATTCACATCAGCAGCATAGTCCAACAGCTAATGTATCCCGTTTAATGTCAGCCCCACCTGGACCTTCCTAATGGCATATTCTAAAGCAAAGTTGAAAAGCTGTGGCAATAAAGCATCCTAGTTCTAGACCGTTCTGTATAGGAAAACTATTCAGCCTAACTAGTTCCATGGGTATCCCCAAACTCTCATCAGATTGTACAATTCCCTCCTAACTGAATCATAGGCTTTCTTGAAGTCTATGAAATAGCTGATGTACTGTCTCATTGCACTCCCATTTTTTCTCCAGTATCTGACAAATGCAAAAGATCTGTAGTTGAAACCCACAGATGATCCCCAATTATTTCGGCTATATATGGACTTCACCTTGAGAGAATATTAGATAAAATTTTGTATGAAGTTGAGAGCAGTGATATCCCTCAATAATTAACAGCCTTCCTGTGTACTACATGCCCTGCTTTCTAATACTCTTTGACTTCCAACACTTACTTGGCAAATGGAAATACTGAAATATATCATTTACAAACAAGTAGAATGTCAACTTCCAATCTACTGTTTTCTCCTAAATTCTCACCCCCTTCCCCCAATAAATCTGGCAACATCTCATGTGTGAAAGTAACATTTCCGCTGAAAAAACCTTTCATAGTACTCCAGCTGCAAGAAGCATTTCAATATATATCAGAAGTAGACCCACACATTCTAAACATTGCTGGTTCACAAGACTGCTTTGTTTTTCACAATAATGCTAAATCTAAACAGCAGTTCATGAAAACAGAAGTGCATATGGACCCAAATTTTCTTTGCCTTTTACGCTTCCACATGCGTAGAGTATTACTAGGATTAAATGACCATTCAAAGGATGAAGATTAAATAAATCATTACACTCAAGTGATTTCACGCTTTATTATAATGAAATAAACATTTTTCATACATTCCCTACAGGACATGAACAATCTGTCACAAGAATGAAGGACCCATACCTGCTGTTATATCAATAATTTTTTTTTTTTTCAAATTTTATTACAACATATTAGTAGTTTTTTAATTTGCTTAGTGGAGGGTGGAGTCCAACTGGGTTCACTTGGCATGGCAGCCACTGATTGGCCTATTGTAGCCTGCCTGGTCGATTATGACTAAGAATTTGATGGAATGAAGATTGGCATGGGAAACTGAAGTACTCTGAGAAAACCTGCCTCCAGCACCACTTTGTCCACCACAAATCCCACTTGACCAGACCCAGGCTGCAGTGGTGGAAAGCCAGAGACTAACCGCCTGAGCTATGGCGCAGTCGTAAGAGATTGTCAAGTTCATGAGCAGCTATCCATTACTACAGTAAAATTCAACCACAAAATAGTCTTTCCATTCATGATGAAACCAAGGAAAACTGAACAGTCCACTTTATAAAAGTTTCCCTTTCCTTGAACATAGAATTATTTAGTATAAGAATATATTCAATATGGAAAGAAAAAGTCTATATTCCACCTGTAGTAGTAAAGATACAAGGACACTGTCCCTTCTATAAAACAGGATCTCGCTTAAAGTATATCTAGACTATATCTAGACTAACATCACACACTGGTATTTTATGCAGAGCAGGTGAAAGGTGAACATTTTATATTTCAAAACTGCACTTTTTCATATCCTTTATGAATGTACACGGCATTACACAACAAAATACTGAAGCAGAACTGCTCTCAGCAACAGGATACCACATTCTGAAATGTAAGTTCAAGATACGAATACTCAAATAGTAAATATATACTAAAAATATATAACTGGCCTCCTCATCACCCCTTATAGCCAGCCGATCCACCCACTAGACATAGTTTGGAAAAACTTAAGAATTTATAAGCCACATTCTAAAGCATAAAACAAATATTTACAGAGACTTACAAATTAAAAAATAATTCCCTGAGAACAGCCCGTTTTTGTCCAAGAATCTCCAGACTTAACAGTCTCCATCTCCATCTGGAAGAGCCTTTACTTTCACTGTTCTTTCCTGATCCCACACATAAAACTACCCTTCACTAATCAGTCGCTGGGACAGGAGTTGAACACAACTGCCTGAAACGCGTCTGCAGTAATTCATTTCAAATCCCCCTGGAAAGCATTCCCAATCTGTTCAGATCCCCTAAACAGCCTTATATGATCCAGCACAGAAAATACCCATCTTCACCTTATTTACTCATGGAGCTGACCCCTTCTGGAGCCGCCGCCAATTCTGCAGCTACTCAAGAATTTCCCAGCACTTTATGGAACCCAAAGGTTCAGTACAGTGTTCACAAGAGCCCTCCACTGGTTCCTAACCTGAGCCAGATCAATCCAATCAATACCATCTCGTCCTCTCTCTCTAAGAACCAATTTAATTTTCACCTAGTACAAATGGCCCTGATACCCTGAACAAACAACCTTCCCCATCAGTCCCCAGAATAGACTATTTTTTTCCTGATCCCTGGAAAAACCTCTACTTCTACAACATTATGTTCCTTGGAGAAGCCCACCCATCCTACAATAATTCTGAGAAATGCTGTACATAAATCCCTAAAAATCATTTTGTCCTGGTACCATCTCAGCAATTTCCACTATTCTATGTTGATCCCATGTTAACTCCTCCTTTTCGATAACCTATTTGAAACCTGCCCTTTTATATGTTGATCCCAGGTGAAATCCCTATTATGCTAGTCACCCTGCGAAATCTTCTGTGGTAATCTCCTGGAAATCCATCCCTTCTTCTGCACTGATATCCTAAAAATCCTGCTCTCTGTCTCTTCCTTTAATCCACCATTTTGTGCCAATCCCCTGGAAATAAATCCTCTTCTGCACCAATCCCCTGGAAATAAGTCCTCTTCTGCGCCGATCCCGTGAAGCAATCCTCTTCTGCGCTGATCCTGGAAATCCATCCCTTCTTCTGCACTGATATCCTAAAAATCTCGCTCTCCGTCTCTTCCTTTAATCCTCCATTTTGTTCCAGTCCCCTGGAAATAAATCCTCTTCTGCGCCGATCCCCTGGAAATAAGTCCTCTTCTGCGCCGATCCCGTGAAGCAATCCTCTTCTGCGCTGATCCCCTGGGTGGAAATAAGTTCTCTTCTGCGCCAATCCCCTGGAAATAAGTCCTCTTCTGCGCCGATCCCGTGAAGCAATCCTCTTCTGCGCTGATCCCCTGGGTGGAAATAAGTTCTCTTCTGCGCCAATCCCCTGGAAATAAGTCCTCTTCTGCGCCAATCCCATGAAGCAATCCTCTTCTGCACTGATCCCCTGTGAAGCAATCCTCTCCTGTGAAGTAATCCTCTTCTGTGCTGATCCCCTGTGAAGGAATCCTCTTCTGCACCGATCCCCTGGAAATAAGTCCTCTTCTGCGCCGATCCCCCGTGAAGCAATCCTCCCGTGCGAAGCAATCCTCTTCTGTGATGATCCCCTGGAAATAAGTTCTCTTCTACGCTGATTTCCTAGAAATAAGTCCTCTTCTGCGCTGATGCCCTGTGAAGCAATCCTCTTCTGCGACAACCCCCTGCGAACCAATCCTCATCTGTGTGTATCCCCTGGAAATAAGTTCTCTTCTGCGCAGATTCCCTGGAAGTACGTCCTCTTCTACGTTGATCACCTGAAAATAAGACCTCTTCTGCGCCTACCCCTGCAAAGGAATCCTGCCCAGGAACCCCGTGATGGAGTGAGGCACACCACTGGAACCCCACTGAGCCGGATCGAGGCATGGCCCTAGAACCCCACTGAGATGGAGTGAGGTATGTCCCATGAACCCCATCATGGAGCGCGGCGCAGGACCACCACTGCGACAGGGCGAGGCACGGCACAGGAACCCCACAGCAACATGGAGCAAGGCACGGCGCAGGGAGCCCACCGCGATGGTGCGAGGCATGGCACAGGAACCCACCGCGACGGTGCGAGGCATGGC